CTTTCAGAGCACAAGTGCCACTCAAGCCACAAACGACGCGCTAAGCCATAAACGAAACAGAAAAGAAAAAAACTTTAAAAAAGAGAGAGAACAGAAAATATTTTCAACATAATGTCGGCCAGCGAGCCAGCCAAGCAAAGTATAAAGTTAAAATTAAAAGATAAGCATTTAACAACTTGCAACAAGCACTTGCACCAACAACTTTGCTTTGGCATTGGCAGAGATTAATTGGTAGGTGTAGAAGCGTTTCCAGCAAGAAGAGGTTAAAATGTTAAGAAGCAGCAGTAAACACGACAGACAAAAAGATAATGCGCAGCGGAAGAATTCCAAAGAAAAATATAAAAGAAAGATTAAAGCGTAAATTAAAATTATGAAGAATGCAGTTTAAGCATAACCTCTATGCAAAACAAGTGCCGAATATTACAAAACAACTATGCGCATGGAAACTTGCGAGGCAAGAGTAAAGAAATGAGGGTGAGATTAATAGAAAACCAAAAAAAAATATATTGATAAATAAACGAACCAAGTTCAAGAGAAAAGCTAGCGCAACAAGAAAGAATGATGAGATTCGAGATTGCTTAACTAACTGGGTGATTTCAGATATAAATTATTATTTAGGGTCTTGAGTCAAAGTATAAATACAAATATAAATACATTACTCGAGCGACGTTTGTTATCTTTCTGCTGATGGTATAATCTACATGAGTATCAGTTGGAGCGCCACAGAGTGTGTATAGCACCGAAGCATCTTATGCACACCACGAATGTTGTAAGCAATACGCCATGCGGCGCGCAAAAAAAACATTAAATTTTTTGCGTAATTTATGCTGAATTAAAAAGTTGTTGCAAGCAACAACTGGTTAGTTGGACGCTTAGCCGGTGTGCGACAGCTGGACAGATAGCGTTGGACAGGCGTAAAGTAAAGATGGAAAGAAAAAAGTAATAAGAAACAATATTAAACAAAAAAGCTACACGCAACAATATGTTACAACAACACTTTAAATTTAATGAAATTAATCCTTGACAAGAGTTGCAATCGTCGAGTCATATGGCATAAAATTAAAGCGCGTTAAATTCAAAGGAGTTGAAAGACTGAGAGTTGCTGGAAAAAGTGCAATAATATTACGAATCGCGATAAAAATCTACAAACGACATGCAACATCAAAAGAAACAACGTGCAACACACACACACACACACACACACACACACACTGAAGCACACAGGGAGTCACATAAGCAAGTTTTTGTTGGCGGCGAAGGTGGCACTGCAAGTGCGCGCAGCCAGTTATTTGAAAGGAGAAGTAGAAATCGCAACAGGATGCGCACAGCAGGACATGCACGCAATGCACAGACAAAAAGTGAAATGCCAGCGCATGCAACAGCGGCTGAACGACAACAAAATTCACAAAAGCATAGAGGAGGCGTTGCGCGTTATTGGCATGTAGGCAAGCGGGAAGACAGACAGCCAAGCCGAGATTGCAGGTTAACAGCGGCGACTGCATTGAAATGGAAAATGAAAAATCGTGCGGCAATGTTAAATCATTAGGATGATGTAGGAGTTATTTCGATTTTCTATGGAAAAAGTGGGCAACAAAAGGCAGCAAGGCTGGGAAGAAGCGACGTATGAGATTTTTTCAACCTTTTTGTGTTTGATGCGCATGAAAAAGTATAATTAAAATTCCACAAAGCCCTATTTTTAGGCACCAGTGTATAGCGTGTAAGGAAATTTTTAATTAAGGAAAAATCAAGCAGCGTCTGCTGAGCAACCGAAAATGTTCGATAAATGTTTGGTTAGACAATGAAGTGGCTGAATAATGAAGAAAAGGTTGAATAAGAAGAAAGTATTATTTTCGATTTGAGTATTTTCTAGGCAGAAGTAGGAAACATAAATCAAACGTTTCGAAGAGGCCTGGGAAAATTGCTACGAATAGTATGCCACACTGGCAACATATTAACATACAAACAAGCATTCAATAGGCATTAAAGCATTACAAAAGGCAGAGAATAATAAAAAATGAAGAGAAAAAACGCCGCTGGCAGGTAAAGCAGCTGTTGACTGGCACCGATTGGTATTGGAAATGTGAGAAGTTCGTTGTTAGAAATGGTAAATGTGTAGAAAAAATGCTGCAGGTCACTGTTGCGCTGTAATATGCGCTGCCAATGACGATTAACAAGTGACATTGGAACTGGAAAATAAAAAATTAAATAAAGCTGAACGAGCTAAGCAGGTGAGAATCAACGAAAGAACAATAAAAGTTAATGAATTATATATGTAATATTGTGAGTTTTGTAGGTTGAGGTATTGAAAAAAGTTTATAACTTATTGAGAAGAAAGGAATTTATGGTTAAAAATGAAGAAAAGGGTGTATAATGGATACATATAAAGCTAGCGCGTTTCGAAAAAATACATAAATATGTAGAAAAAGCGGCATAAGCGCTTGCTCCGTTTTGCCACAAGCGTTGTGTGGTCGCGGCAAGGTGACATATGCCAAAAATCCAGCAAAAAAGCGCTGCGCAGCGCATGCTAAAGCCTTTAAAGTGCGCGATTGATGTGCAACATGCCACGCCGCTGCTTGTACTCACTAAATATTCAAGCACACGTGTATGTGTGTTGGCTTTTTTGTCGCAGGACAAAACAATTTTATCGATTTGAATAATCAAAAGGAATTTAAATTGCAACAAAGCCACGGTGAGCCATCAAAAAAGTTAACAGCAACGGAAATCGAAGATGCGTCTGTAGCCAGCAAACAAAAAACGCAGGCAAGCAACAAACAGATGCGACATTATTGGCATGCAACAAGCGAAATGCGCCAGCAAAAAAAATAAAACTTTGATGTTGCAGTTAGCAGGCGATAAATGCGCGCTTGGTGTGCGGTTGACAGCGCTATAGGAGGCGGCAGGCGGGCGTTGGGTGGCATGCGAGCGAAAAAAGGGGAAAATAAAATTAATAAAAAGGGCGAGCAATGTTTCAGTCAGCAATGTTTTGCTTATGCGGCAGACAACAACATGCGGCATGCAACAGCAGGTACTTTGGTTTGGCTGCTGGCATTAAATTAAAAGCGAAGTAAAGCGCAGCATTCGTGCTTATAAAACGGAGCGCCCATACATAGACACTAGTATACACACGAGATGGATTACATGCTGCCCAACATGAACGCTGACTTCGATTTTGTGAAATAGCAAGGAGCGCGGATGAGTTGCAAGGCGCAAGGCGCAGCAAGCATGCAACAGTCAGACTAGCGACACTGTTAAACGCTTGTTACTAGGCGACTGCCGGCGAGACAATAAATAAAATCCAATAAATAAAAGAATGAAAATAAAAACAATTTAAAAATTTGATAGCGCGCGAGTTATTTCTGCGATTCCACATGCCAACAACCAAGCGGTAGGAACGACGAGCCACCGCAGCAGCACAGCAGCGCGTGCAACATTGAAATGTTGCGTGGTGTTGCAAGAGTAGACAATGAAATCTACCAACAGGAGGCAGGCAATGAGACAGTGGAAGACAGGCAGACATGCAGACATCATGCAACCAGTTGGCCAGTTAGCGCGCACAAAAGTCGTGATTCGGCGGCGCTTTTTAATGGCGCACTGTAAATAGACGAACAAGCGCGGTCGCATACATTTCTGCTGCTGCTGACTGGATTAAAATATTTGCAACATTTAACGAGTGGCAGCCAGCAATAGCGGCGCTGTGGCAACAACGGCGAGTGCTGCTACACGTCAAAGTAATTGCGGCATTTGCAGACGCGCTCGTCCGTCCAAATCAATGAACAGAAGATAGGAGTACGAACGCGGCCTGTTGCTGTTGGCTGACTGTCTAAAGTTGCAAGCGCGCAAGCGAAGATGGCGTATTGGATGTTGGTTAAATTAATTGTGGCTAAAATTAAATTAATACCAACTAAATGGGGAATTAGTCGTGAAATAACGAAGCGACGTTAAATTGCCGCCGACACAAACATGGTGAACATGGCACGGCGCACAGGCGGCAGCGCGGGCAGTGAGCGGCGCGTATACTTCCGTTCTGTGGCAGCCACAAATTAAAGCAGATATAAAGTAATAAACGAGTAAAAACTGTAGAAGCATGAAATGAAGTGCAACGCATTTTCAAGGTTTTTCTGGCGTCATCAACAAACAGTATGAGGGAGCTGCAAGTAGTGGATAAGCCAGGCTATGGCAACTGACATTGTTTTAAGTGGCAACATAGACATGCTCGCTTTGATATACAAAAAAACCAGGTACAAAGGCTGATATTTAAAACCACTCAATATGCCGGAAATCTGCAACAGCAACAACACGGCACAGAATTTGGTAAGCATTTTAGTCGCAAAACAACAGCAAATGGGGACTGTTGAGCATTGTACAGCAGTCAAAGGGGTTGTTGCCGGCAGGATGATGCGCAAGTGTCAGGCGTTTAGGTTTTAGAAGCACAAAAAACCAACAACAAAAAGTAAAAATAACCTCTGCCAAAACGCATATCAAATGACAAAGCAAAAGTGAAGCGGTGCGACCGCGTCGAAGCGGCAAAAGCATGAAAAAGTGTCAGCAAACAGACGAAATGCATTGATCCTCGTACGACCGTCGCAATAATAATGTTGTGCCTTTTTAGTTTGACAGGATGCGCGCATATAAAAGGATGGCATAAACAGGATATAAATATATATATATAATTAAAAATTCTTCATACCACCTAAGGGAAACAGCTTTGGGGTTGCGCAAATGATCGCAAGTGCTGCGCGTGTGTTTTGAAGGAAGTAGTAAAAATATGGTTTATGTGAAATTGGAGTAATAAGGAAGTGTAGTAAATTGATTGATTGGCATATATAAGGCTAGCAAATTCATTTTGTATTAGAAAAGGTAAGTAAGGGAATTAGAAGAACATAAAACTGCAATATCAAGAACGGACTGATCGGTTGAGAGCATGTGGGTAGGTAGGTAATATTAGAGGGTCAAAGATACTAAAAATGAATATAAAAAACAATTTTTTTATAGCAACTTACTGTTTGAGCGCGTATTAGCGCTGTTATTCGTGTCATGCAATGCCTCGACGATTAGTGTGAACGTGCCCTGTAGGGAATAAAGTAAGGAAAGTATTATTAGCAACAAAGAAAATAGCATATTGAAAAGTATACTACTTTAAAATACTTTTGTATTAGTGATATATGTTAAAAATTTTCAAATTGTACACTCGCGATCGCTAAAGATCGCTTTATAAAATATGTCATATAACTTAATATTTTGAAGGAAGGTACAAATAAGTTAGATATAACCGCTTTTTGAAAAGAAATTATAAAAAAAAAAATGTGTTGATCTGCAATGATCGGGAAGCACTTACATCATTAATTCATGCCCATAAAAATATTGTCGGCAAGAAATATATGAAGATGGGTGATCAGTAGTGACCGCGATTTCTTAAAGCGATCAGTGAAGATCGTAATAAGTATCGGAAGAAAACTATCTAGACTTGCTATTGAACACATTTTCTTACAGTAAAACAAGGCGAATGTAATATTTAAGCGTTGATCTGCGAAAAAACAAGTTAAGATAAAAAGTGATCGTGCCGCAACGCTGTTTGCACGAACAAAATTTTTCAACAACCGATTTGCGTTCAAAATATGACAAACAGATAACAGCAAAAGAGAAATTTACAAAAATTGAGTTTTTTATGAAGAATAAAATACCGATCTTCTTAATGAAGATCATTAGAAATGATGATGATCGCCGACAAAGCGAAAATTGTCAATAAACTAAAAGTGCATAAAAGTCAAAATGCAGCGGAAATATTAGCGTAAAGCACACGCTATTAGCGAGGTCGTAAAAAACTCGAAAAAGCACATAAAATAGTATTAAAAAATGCAAAGAAAATTTAAATTAGCGACAAATTAATAAATTGTGATAAGCGCACGACTATCTATACATATATATTTACGTAAAGTGGCAGCGAAAAAACTAAGGTGCAAGTATATGAGCTAAAAGTGAAAAGGCGCTGCCTTGTGCTAATGGAAAAAACGACGCCTACGACGCGATGGCCACACCGCAGAGCGCTTAAAGTGGCCATAAGAAATATTATACACTAAATAAATAGAAAACTAAATATGCTAAGTTGGCCGGCGCAGCTGAGCGAGCGTGGTAGGCCCAAGCTGTGCCAATGCAAAGTTGCCAAGCGCGTTGTTGCTGCTGTTGTTTACCAGCTATGAATAATGCAATCAAGTAGCAAAATTCATAACTAACGGTGTGCGCAGGCGAGAGGCAAGCGCAACAGTTGCAGGTATTTGAAATGCAAATGAGCGCTCGCGCGCCGTGAGTAGCAACACATACTAGCCTCAGCTGTGGTGGTTGCTGAGCGCATGCGTGCACGCCACTTGCCAAAGCGCCCTCAATTCATACAAACAAACAAAATTTGAAAATTTTAATAAAAATAAAAACACATGCGGCGACTAAAATTGTAGTTAGAAATATGTTGTATGGCTTCATTTCGCTGTTGAATACAAAATAAATGAAGATAAAGCTGTTTGTAAATGCAAGCGTGTAATATGCAGAGGAGGATGCGCCAACGCCTTGGCCATTCGGCGATACTACTATTGCAGTAAATTGTTGCACTTTCGATTTTGAAAGCTTAAATAGGTTGCGTTGCAGCGGATAATATTATTTTCGTTTCGAAAAAAAAAAACAAACAAGAAACACATAATAAAGGAATGTGTGGGTGGTGCGCGCTTCCTACTATGATAACGCACCAATGATAAATGTGAAATTTGAATATTAAAGATTACATAAAGGCGCAGGAACTTGATGTGCGCGTATTAATTTACAAATCGAAAATATAAAAGATAATATTAAAACTAGTTTTTCCAGCCTAAATGAATTTTTGTAACTTTTTATGTTAATTTCTGGCTTACATTTTTGTTTAGTATTTTATCCAATGTACGTGGGCTGACGGAAACGTTACGCTAAACTGCAGGCAAGGTATTTTATTGCTGCCAATAACTGAGAATTTCGGAGAAGGAACACTTAAAATACAACGCTGAAGTGTTGCCAAGTTAAATTGAAGAATTTAAAAGCAAACAAGCAAAAAAAATTGTTCGGGCAGCAGGCATTCAAGCGCAAAAGGCATTGAAATGCCGCGCAATTTGAATGCGCTTGTGCGCAGCGCTGGTGAATGGATGCACCAACATTGTTGGGCAAGTAAAGCCACGCGGTAACCAGCTGGGCGCGCTCAAGAGGAAATTATTGCAAGTCACAAATCAGAAATCGGCAGCTCATAAAAAGTCGCAAACACACAACGGCGCGCAAGTGCATGATAAGTTGAGCGCAGTTTTTGCAATTACAAAGGTGCAGTGTGCGCACAATCAAATGTAATAATTTAAAGCAAAAATCAATACTCATCTATTGCATTTGCTGATTTGCAAATAATAAATTTTGCAATGGCAAAAATATTATTGGCTAACAAAGCGTTTGGCAAAAATCAAATTTGGGGAAAAAAATCAGTAGGCGAATCATAAGAAATATGGGCACGGCAGGAAGCAAATCAGACGACACACAGAGTGTCGCTTGGCGCGCAATAAATTGCAAGCGGCAAGTATATTGCAACAAAGTGGCAATGAGGTGGCGAAAAGAAAGCGCGCACCTCAAAATATCTACAAAAGGTGTTGCTGTTCGCTGCTGGCGAGTGTTGTAGTAGGTGCTACAAGGCAATGGTAAAAATAACGATGCCGATGTGGCGAATTATGTTGCAAAGATGTTGCCACCGAACGCGTCAAGGCGCGCATTGTCGCAAAAGTAAGCGATCAGCAGTTTGATCTACTGAGTGGCGACCAAAAAGTTTGACACAGCCACAAAGTGAACATATAACGGCGCACAGTAATTTCCATTATTTCTGCTGCGCGTTTCATTTGTCGCCGTCGCGCAGCGCATAAATTCTTTTTATTTTACTTTTATTTGCATTTATCTTCAGGGGTAGCTGCGCCGCTATAAATCGTTTTAATGAAATGAAGAAGCTACTGCAACAGCAATGGCAGTCGACAATGCGACATATTGCGCTAAAAATATACACGTTTGCATCATTGCCAGCGCGCGTGTTGCGCGACGACATGCAACAATGAAACGCTAGGTCGCGTGCAACAACGTGGAGCAGACAGAAGCGTTGCATATATAAAAATTTACAGACACCCGCCACAAGTCAATGAGTTAGTAAATAAAAAGTGCATATACCGACATACATACGTAGCTATGCACATATGCATTTGATGGCATGTTGCGCATCTGAGATTAAAGTTCAATTCAGCAGCCAGCAACACCCTTCATCAGCGCGCACCCCAAAGTTTACACTCACCAACGCGCGCGGGCTATACACCATACACTACTCGTTGTAGTTGTTGTGTTGTGTCTTTGACAATAGCTATTTTTAGGCGCCTGACGACAGTATGTGAAAAGTAGGCGTGCTGTATGTTCATACAAAATGAGTAGCACAAAGGCAGGCGTTGTCTGCGAAGGGGCGCGCGCAGGCGATCCAATGCTGGGGCTTCACCTTTTGTAGCTGCCAGTCGTCTGACAATTTAGTTTGTAAGTTTGTTTGGGTATTCGTTCGGTAAAGTGAATTTCGTGTTATTTTAAATTCAATATAATTCTGCTGAGAAATTGCGTATTTGTGGCATGGAGTTAAGCTGTTGACGCATCTAAGCGCATTTATTGTTGACGAGTGTTAAGTAAATTATTTTCATTGCAGACGCAAAGCGGCACGCTTCAGCATCGGCCGCAATGACCCAGAAACTAGGAGAGGAACAAGAAAAGATGGTGCAACAAAATGGGTTGCAATATAAATATATAGGTTTCGATATTATATACACATATATACATATATAATGTGGAACACCAGCCAACACTTGGAAGCCAGCTAGAAACGGCAATTAGAGGCAGAAAAACAATGTGGTAGAAAAAGCGAATAATGGAAGAAACTTCAATTCAATTTCAGATAACGCAAAAAGCTAGCGCTCGCAGATAAGCAGCAAAAACAGTACGACCGCGGAATTTCACGTGCCACATTAATTTGCTGCAGCCATAGCGGTTTGACGGCCGAGCGACCGGAGTGGCCGATGCGATAAGTACCTTGCCGTAGAGGCTTATCCCTTAACCGCTACTAAATTGCTTAAAGTATTTTTGTTATTGTTGTTGTGAAAATGATAAAGATGACGTTTGCAATGTTGACGACAATGACGCGCTGAACATTGACAAGCGCTGATGGCCGACGTAATGACACCAGTCAACCAACCGCGCAAGCTGCGGCACCACGCTGATCGCACAGTGCACGCCGCGCCGTAGTTAGTGCAGAGAAAAGTGGATATGGGCAAAGGGAGTGACGGCCAAGCTGATAATGATGATGACTAGTGACGTTGCACATGCGCGCTGCAGTAATTACACATGGCGTGTAGCAGACGATCAGCAACTATGCGGTACTGTGAAATAGGAAATGGTGCTGGTGGTGGTGGCAAACGGAAGAAGGCATGCATAAAAAGTAAACGCAAGTAAGTAAGTATAGAAGTGGGTAGTAGAAGAAGAAAGCATGTAAGTAAATCACCCTTATGCAAGGAGTTGTAAGTTGCATATAAGCATGAATGGCTGTGTGAGCGCAATGTTGACAAAGTTCACTGCGCTATGTGCGTATGCTCAAGCGATGATGTGGCAATACAATAGTGTTTTTGTTGTTGTTGTTGTTGGTATATACATACGCGTCACAAGCCAGTGAATGTGGTAGAGAGAAATACCTTTCATTGCCATATCAGAGACTAACCATTATGGCGCTGCAGTGGGTCTTCCATTGAGGCAACATTAAATGTTGCATGTATGCATATGAGCGGCGCGTTAAAAATGCCGTTGCGCGAACACAAAGTAGAGTTAGAAAATACGTTAAAAATTGCTGAATTATAGTGAAGCTTGAGTGCGTCGCAAAGACTGAGGTAACAAAAGCGTATATACATACGCGGTGGCCAGACAGTGCAGCGCGTCTATAGAATGCTTGCAAGAAAATATGCAGGTATGCCATAATGAAAAATAATATAAAAAATATTAATAATTATACTAAAGATTGAAGACACCGACTAAATGGTATATACACATATGTACCTTAATTAAAGCCGCGCTTAGGTAAGCGCTCCCGCTTTAATTAGAATGAATATGAAAATTGAGAAAATTTATTTTCAAAAATTAAGATTTATTGAGAAGCATATTTTTGAACTCAAAACTTACACGTGCTACGAAAATAATATGCAACGCAGCCGAAATAGGGACGCGCTGTTCTTATTGCCTTTTGTTGCAAGTACCGTTGCATTGTGCTTAATAGATGACAACGAAAATGAGGGGGCGCTCGCACAGAACAACGTGCAACACGTAATATAACGCACGCTACGAGTACTTCGTGGAACAATATTATTTGTTTGACTGCTAGCCGAAGATGCAATAAACTAATTGCGATGACAACGCGCGGGAGGGGAGGATATAAACAGCTATGTAACTGTTTCATTCAATTATAGTTAAGGCGCAATAAATGTCGCTGCGTTTTTGCTGAATGGAATGAGAGTTTACGATATGAGCGCGCAAAGGAAGCGACCCAGTCGGAAATTGAAGCAAAAAATAAAAACTAAACGTACTTAAAATGCAATTATTAAAAAAAAAATAGTATTTACACTTACTGAAAGATAAACATATTTCCAATGAAAAAGTGGCATTTTGTTGGGGCTCAAATGTGCCATAACACGCGCCAGGAAAGCAACAAAATTGAAACTACCAAATTAGCGCGCTGGGTAGCGGTAGGAGGGGGGTAAATTAATATATAAAAGCAAGCAACTACATACATACACATCAGCGTCATTTCTTTGAACGGCTAAAAATCGAATTGGAACAGCATAAAAGTAAAGTGCTGATCACAGTAAAAATAACAACAAGCCGAGTATTTACATTAGCAAGCCGCATACAAGGGGCGCCGATAAACCCAAAGGCAGCACAGAAGCGAGCCCGCGCAAAGCGGAAAGGCGACAGCGCAAGCGTCAAGGGAATAATCAAGAACAAAAACAGTGAGCGGGAATGCTTTGCTAATATTTATGGTTGTTTTAGTACTGCTGATCATGGTGGTGGTGGTTAAGGTGATGGCAGCACAACGGTTTGGCCGTTGGGTGTTCAGCATACTGGTAGTGGTGGTTGGGTTAATGTCAATGCGTTGAAAGTTAGTGCGCAACAAACACCACCGTAGAGGGGTGCTGCTCTACACTTACAAGCGCGCACGCGCGACGGTTCGCTGTTCGGTATACACGGCTGGACGCGGTTTTAGCGCATTTTAATAGCTGACAGCTGTTCGACATAAAAAGCGGCAACTGAAATGTTTACTTTGCGCTATAAAGTGGCGGCGCACCAAGTGTGTGGTGGTGGCGGCGCGGAGTGGTTAGGTGGTGCCACGCACTGAAACGACCAACCAGACAGCCACCCTTTGTACTCACTCTAGCGATATATATGTATATGTATGTATGTATATATGCATGTAAGTGTAGTTGCGCGCTCAGTCGGCGGGGCTTAGCGACAGATATGTAGATATGCTTTTGCACCCCAGCTATAAATATACTTGCATGTGTGCCTCTTGAGAATTTTGTTTAGTTGTTTTTGTATACATAGTTCATTTATGACTTTTTGTTGTCGTTTTTGTAACGTACTTTTTGCGACAAGGACACGTGCTTCATCGCGGTACAAATTATAAAAAGCGAAGAATTAATTTTTAGCGATAAAACACAAAACATATTCACATATATAAAATGGTTAATAGGTTTTACATATTACAGAAAATTTTAGAAAAATGTGTAATCACTAAAAAAATATATAATTTGATTTACAACAAAAATTCATAACAAACTCCATTCTAAAATATTAAAAAACATTATATATATATATATATCTGTTTATTTATAAACCATAAATGCACACATACACATGCATATTTTATGAATCAGTCAGCATAAAAAGTCAAAAACAACAACGGCAAAAGATCAAACCAACACGAAGCGAAAATGTGCCACTTGGCAAGCGCTGCGATGGCTGCCTTAATGCGGCAAGTTAGCATGGCTTAACGCATGTATACACACAAACACACAGATATATGCATATGTTGCATGCAACATATGATGCGCGACAGCCGTGTAAGTACAACAAAAACAAGCGTTTTTTTCCCATTTTTTTTAGCTTTTGTAAGTCAAAGCAAATCACTTCCCGTTTTCGACAGCCGCGCGCACCGAAGCTAAAGACGACGAAGTGTGCCTTTTGTTGTTGTAAATGTATCTATACATTTGGATTTTGTTTAAAAATAACTCGAAAATGTTGTGAGACACTAATTTATAGTAGTGTGTTGCCTATGTGTGTGTGTGCCTCACTTTGCTGTGCAAAAACTCGGCAAAAATAGACGATAAAGAGGCGTAAAAAAATAACAGTAAAAATGTTTTTTTTTTGTTTTGTAATTTTTAATGTTGTTTTTGTTGTTGGCGGTGCGTGCGGCAATAGCTTTGAACTCTTTGCTGGCTTTAACCGCCATATTTTGTTTTATTTCGTGTATGAACTTTTTTAAAACTATTTTATACCGTTCCTTCAAATTTTTTTGAAATATAACAAATTTTAAAGGTAATTTAAAAAACATGTGCTTTTCACTTACCGGCCATGCAAAATTGAAAGCGAACTGAATGGGGTTCGTAAAGCCTTTGCTTTTGAATTTTTGCGTATTCGTTAGATTTACCGAATTCTCACCGAGTATCGGCGTCACAACGTCACCGTACGTACACTGTGATGTCGTATCGATTTTGGCTTGATAGTGTTTGAGACAAACGCGAAACCGTGTCTTACATGTACCGATGCATTTGCCTGTTTGCGGATCGGAAATGCCGCTACAGCAATTGCCTTCGCTATCGCGACCGTAATCGTTGTTGAAATAGCGTAAACGTAATTCGAACAAACCGGAACTGTGAACCTGGTGGAAGAAAGGAAAAAATAAAAATTATTAGTATTTTTTTAGAAAAATTTAAAAAAACTAAAAAATTAAAGGAAATAAATAATATTATTTATAACATAATTAAATAAATACTATTATTTTCAAACAAATTTCGAAAACTTAAAAAAAAAAATTTTTTTTTAATTATTCTTTCTTTGTTTAATTGCAAAACTGTTTCAAACTCACAGTTGCACAAAAATAATCGTAAGATGCCTATCCCTTTAGCACCCACCAAGCAAAGACAAAAAAATTTAATTTTATAATTTTTTTGTACTCGCCGTCAACTAATCGAATTATAAAGCAATTCATTTCGGTTAACACGCAATTTATTTATTTTGTTCGCTTTCAATGCTTCTTCTCGGCATCAACGCGGGCCTTCCAACAATTCCACTTAAAAGATGTTACATTCCGCGCTGCTGCGCATAAGTTTTGTGGAGGAACGAATTCCAGCCAGCCGGCAAGTTGCCACTGCAACATGACAATAAATCTTTCAGCGTGGTATTTAAGCAAAATGCTACAAAATTGCAGTCAAGCGGAATGAGGGACAGCAACGACAATCGGCGCGGCAAATTCTATAAATGCTGAAATACAATAAGCTCAAGTTGAAGAATTCTTGTTGGCGAGCAAAGGTAGCGCGAGGAATTAAAATAAAAGCACAAAGTATAGAAATGAAGAAATTGCCGAATTGGAGCCAGTCGGCTGAAACATCGACTGATGGACGGCAGAAGCGGAGCTGTAAATTACGCGCTGTGGGCATGCATATTTTTAGGTGGCTGTTGTTGTAACTTTTATTGTTTAACTTTTCTTTATATGAAAAAGCTATTTCGTGCCGCAAAGCAGTTAATGAATAAGTTTCTGATTATTTTTTTTATAATTATTTCTCAAGCAACACAGTCTTAAATATACATATAAAAAAACATACACAAAAAAAATTAAATTAAAAAATATAAAAACTAGATAACAAAATTAATAAATAATATTTAAAATAGAATTTAAAAAATTATGTTAATTTTTTGTCAGTAATTGGAACTTTGTTTCTAACACAAAAAAAATTATAAATAAATTTTCATTTTTTCGGAATGTTTTTTTTTAATTTACTTTATTATTTTTACATACTAATTTTTTAATTTATTTTATATATTTATTTCTCTTTTTTATCTTCTATACTTTTAAAATATTTTATGTTTATTTAATTTTTCTGTAATTTTCGTAAATTTAAACTTTTTTTATCACTTAACTATTCAATATTTAACCTTTAATACAAGACCGTTACATACAATTTCTCTCCACATAAATCATTTGATAATTTCATTGTTTGCCTGCAACACCGACGCTGCTACACGGCGCTTCCCACCAAATTACAAACATACATACATACAAACAAACAGGCTTGCATTTCAAAGAGAAACATATCGCTGACATGTGTCGAACTGCTTTACGAGGAACTTGCGTCTCCGAAAGCAAAAAGAAAAACAGGAGCAACAAAAAATGTACACATATGCAAAGTGTCATAAAGATAACGAGGCGTCTAATTAGCATAATTTGATTTGCGGCATTAAAACGGCCGATTTTTAAACTAACAAATAACAACAACAATAAACGTTTATAAAAGCCCAAAAATGGCAGCGGCGGTTTTCGCAGCTGCTGTCGGGTGATAAAACTGTCGGCATTTATTAGCGAAACTTTTTATTAGCGAGTGTTGATGGACAAGGCAACAGCAAATTCGGCTTAAAGTGCGAGAAGACAAGAGCGCCGCCTTTGTATTGTTTTCGTACATAAATGTTCAAGTTAATTAGAAAATGATTAAGTGATGAGGCGAAATCGAACAAAAAATTAACAACAAAATTTTAAAAAGACAATAAAGAAATACAAAAATGCTAAATCATAGATTAAACTAAAATTCGAGATTAGCTTAATAAAATTCGTAAAGCAACAACTTACAAAAAATAAGGCATCGTTAAATTTTATGCCAACATATGCTAACTGATGTGATAAAAAATGTGAAGCCGTTGGTCTCGATTTTTGGTACACATTAAAATGAGACCCACTGTATGTCTAAGCAAATCAATTTAATTTTAAACGATATAAAATTAAACTGGACTTAAATAACGACTATGCCGTGGCTCAAAAACGAGTTAAGCGGATGCTTAGCGCCGAAAAAAAAATTTCTGGTGAAAACATACGCAAAGATTATTTTCAAATTATTGTAATACGCTTTTATAGCTCACAAATGATCGATAGTGAGTGACTAATGACAAGAAGTAGCTAATAACGTTTATGCTAATAAATCAATTTATCAGAAATACATACATTTATAAAAACAATAAAAATAGAGTGCACAGCGAGGCAACGGAGCTATGGAGCGGATGGAAATAAAAAGAATATTAAATATTATATTAGCTCAATTAAAAAGTGTTAAAAATAAATTATAAAAAATACGAATAAACAAAAAAAATAAATTAAGAGAAGAAAATAGATAAAAAATAAAAGTAAAAAATATACATACATACATATGTATAAATAAATATTCTTAAGAAGTTCGTACAACAAAATTAAGAAGATGCAAATAAAATACATTAAAGGATACAAAGAAGTATTAAAAGCCGCAATATAACATAGTGTTAAAAAAATTATTATTTTTAATATTATGAAATTATCTTACTAAAAGTTTCAAAAAATACAAAAAAAAACATATAAAATAATATAAACAAAAAATTTATAAAGAAATTAAAAAAAAATTATATTAAAAAAAATTATATATAAAAAAATACAATAAAAAAATTAATGAAAACTAAGAAAAAATTAAGGAATACAATTTTTTTAATATAAGAAACATGAAATTAAAATATAAATTGAGATAATAATAAAATATAAATTCAGATAATAAAAATTGTATAAATAAATATATAACCAAAGGTATACAAAATTAAATATGCAACAAAATTTTCCCTTAACGTTGTCTGATACTTTAAGTTAATAACCTACATATGTATACAAAAAGTAAAAATTAAAAAAACAACTATTTATTAACAAGAAAATTATAAAATTATAAAAAGTAAAAAAAAATTAAAAAAAAAGTATCCAAAAGCCGCCTAATACTTTAAGAAAATAACCTCTAACGTCAAAAACCACAACAAAATATAGCGATATAGAAAAACGTCGGAAAATTTTACCTAAAAGGCATTACAAAACTTTACATTCTTCATTGCTGTTTGGTGTAAAAATATAAGCAAGTGCTTAATAATGAAGAAATTAAATAAAAATGGTAACAATTTTTTGCCAAACACACGTAGCCGAAGAAAAAACCGACAAGCAATCAACGCTTCATTAAATACACAACCAAAAATGGACGCAGTCGCCACAAGTAACAGCAGAAACAAGCTGGTAAATATTGCAAAAAAAAATTAAAAGAAAAAAGAAAACAAGCAGAAAAAATTGGAGCGAACAAGTGTATGGCAGCAGCAACAACAAAAACAGCAGACGCAAATAGACAGAAAGGCTTCTTCGAGCTAAACGCCTCAGCATATGCTGGATAAACGCGCAGCAGCAGCCAAAAATAGACACACACATACATACATACATATATTTTAAAATACAAACAAACGTAAGCTGCACTGTGCTCTGATTTATAACTGTCCGGCAATTAACATTTACAACAAGTTTAAGCTTGTTAAAATGACAATTTAATTGTTAACAAGACGACGTCATAACAAACAAAATGGGGAAATCGAAGGAAAAGAAAAATGTAAAAAAAAAATATTAAACAAAAAACAAACAAGTAAATACATATATTTGTAATGTAAAAGTAACTAAGTATGCAAGGACGCCATAAGCGCAGTGTTGCAAAGAGTAGTACAGACTTGAGGCACTGTATGGTAGAGGAGGCAAGCAGCTCGGCCAAGGAAGTAAACTTGATTATTTTGTGCTTTGCCACTTTGTGAGCTAATAGTTAAATGCTGTGCACTTTATTATACAACGTTACATATTTGTGTGCTGTTGTTGTTGTTTGCGCTAGACAGCGGTGCATCAGCGTTGGAAGCGTTGCTGTTTAATTACTTAATTACTCGCTTAAACTGATAGCACTGGTGTGGCTAATTTGCCTGAGAGAATGACGAAGCTAGGCGACAGCGCATGACAAGTGTTTAAAGAGGAAGAAGAAAACTAAAAATTAAATATATACATATATACATACATACATAAATACATATATACATATATGAAAAAATTATTAGAAAAATACATAAAAAAAACTAAAAAATAATAAATAAATTATAACAAAAACAACATTTTAATTAAAAAAAAAAACGTTTTTATACGTTATTTAATACAAAATAAAATTAATAATAACTTAAAAAAAATAAAATTAATACAAAAAAATATATAACTTATGCCTGAAAAAGTGTAAAATGCAAGCAACAACAAAATAATATAGCGTAAAAATGTAATTAAAAGTAAACGAGCGATTTAACGTTCAATTATAAATTTTCGGTGCAACGACTTTTGAGGTTAATTTACGAGAAAACATATGCACAAAATTTATACGCAATAAATTGATTGAAATGTGTAGCGATTGATGCGTCTCAAAACAGCAGACAGAGGCGGCTACTAAAGAAATCTAAATCGTTTTCGATATGCGTAGTTAATGAGCATAGCGTTAAAGACGCGCCAGTTATGATGCGTTATTTGTAGAAAAAGCGCAGAAAAAACACAGCTAAAGAGCGTGCACGCTTTAAACGCCCATTAAGAAATAAAGCGGCTTATGCTGGCGCTTAGAATTAGCGAAAAAACAACAATGAAGCTGAAACGAATCGAGGCACGCACAGCTTAGGTGGCGTGAAGAAAATCGCAGACGAAGAAGAGCATACACATGTAATAAAAAAGTTAAACACAACAATGAAATCGAAAAAGATGCGCTTTAGAAACAAAAACACAGGTAAAAAAAAGCAGCAATAAGCAAATTGAAGAAGCAGGCAACACGT